TCTGTAATGAGATCTGGTGCCCTCTTCTGGCCTGCAGGCAGACATGCAAGCAAAAAACTCTATATACAATAATAAAATAAATCTTAAAAAAAACAAAACAAAAAAAAAAACACTACACTGAAATTGTAAAATTCTAGGCTTAGCTGGTCCCTGCTGACAATTTCTACCATGGATTTCTAATGGTCCCAACTCCACTCGTCTTGTACCCACCATCACATTCACCTCATGACAAATTCAAGATCAGGTACATGAGATACTAGGATTGATCCCCTTGGGTAACAATGATAATATTCCTAGCTAAAGAAAGATAGGACAGTATATTTGTAGTTTGAGGCAAGCCCGGTCTACAGAGCTACACAGAGGAAACCCCGTCTCGGGAAAAAAAAAAGTTTTAGTGTACTTATCAAACTCAATGTTTTAAACCATACAAAAGCAGCGAGAGAAGGATACATCAGCATCTACATAGGACTGCAATAACCGGATTTCCCCTTGTGAATGGCACTCATATAAGGTAACCTAAAGAAACAAAAATATGCATATCATTTCAGAGAAAGAAACATTCTCTGACTCTTAAAACATTCTAGCCAAAATTACAACTTAGTGACATTACAAAAACTGCTTGCAGCAGCTCTGTAAGCTTATCCAAACCATTATAAATCCTCACACCTTCTATGTGATACTAGCCTGGCAATAGTAGTTTCTATTTCCAAACATTTAAATATACATTTCATCCATATAATCAGAACTTTTCCAAAGTGAGTAAAGTTAAAACTTTAAAATAATTACGGTTTATTCTTCTTTAATTAAATTTGTAACAAAACATCTTCAGTACCATGAAATGATTACCCCTAGCAATGCATGCACACAGAGCACAGATAAACATGCAGGCAGCCTACTGACACACATAAAATGAAACTTTAAAAATAAAAGTACAGCTTTCATATTTGAATGGTAAATATAAGTCAATTCTTCTTGCAATTCAAAGCCTGCTTCATAACAAATGTAAATAAAAATGTATTTTCTAGTCGTATTAGTCTTAACCCTGACCATTCCTCAAAAGCTTCACTCTTACACAAAAGAATTATACTGGTAAGCCAGCTATTCAGAATTTACTTTAAAATCACTCCATTTCAATATTTTAATTGTAACATGCGAAATAATCACAATTGCCAACCTGCCCCCCTAACACTCACTCTGTTGCTTCCCACAGTTGCAAACACCAGAGGATCTCCTTCCTTACTGTGCCAGTTAAACTGAACTCCAAACAATGGCTGGTTATGATCTTCCTAGAAAATCATGAAATAAGAAAACTTTAACATATTTTCAAAAACATTAGCCAACTTTTACTTTCCCCTCCCCAAATTAAGTCCACTTCTTATATACGGTGGTAGTTTGAATAAGAATAAACCTATAGGGTCATATATTTGAATGCTTAGCGAATAGCACTATTTGAAAGGATTAGGGGTTTGGCTTTTTAGAGGCAGTAAGACACTGGAGGGGGTGGGCCCTGAGGTTTCAAAAGCTCATGCCAGGCCCAGTGTTCTTGCTCCTCCCAGTGAATCCAGATGCAGAACTCTCAGCTACCTCTCCAGCACCAGGTCTGCCTGCATGCCACCATGTATCCAGACATAACAATAATGGACTAAACCTCTGAAACTGTAA